TCCTTCCTTTTTGCTATAACAATTTTATTCCAGTATTGTGCATAAAATACTTAAAAATAACTAGCGTATATTTACATTTATGTTTATAATTACAATATTCTATTAAAACTAGGGAATTTAGGGCCGACCCCGTGGCGCACTCGGGAGAGCGCAGCACTGGGAGCACAGTGGCGCTCCCACGCCACGGGTTCGGATTCTATATAGGGATGGCTGGTGCGCTCACTGGCTGAGCTTGGTGCGGGCGACACCACACCAAGGGTTGCGATCCCCTTACCGGTCACAAAACAAAAAAAACATTACCGGTCACAAAACAAAAAAAACAAACAAAAAAAAACCCCTAGGGCATTTATATCCTTACTAATAGAAATACAGCAAGTAAGATTCATGTAGGCTAAGTAAACAAAAAACGTCAATATTTCATTAAGAGTAGGTTTTACTGAAAATGAAAAGGAAAATTTGAGTCAATTAATTTAGGTAAATAGTATCGTGCGCTGTGGTCTCTCCCCAAGAGAGACAGAAAGGCCAAGAGAAGGTGTGGACGGGAAGGCAGGGCCCAGGGAGGGCTGCAGGGGTCAGGGGGTTTGGGGTCTGGAAAGGGTTTGGGGAGAGTGGGTGGAAAAAACCAGCTGAGGGGGAGAGGATGAAGGGGATGGGGGAAGAGAGAGGGAAGAGTGAGAGAAGGAACTGGGTTTTACTGGGAGTTAAATAAGAAACTGATGCATTTCAGCATTCCCGAGGAATGTCCAAGTATTTTGCTTTCCAGATGCAGGTGCTGATATCCTTAGGGAACTCTGTGAATATATTTAGCAGGCAAAATCTGTATTCCAGGTTGAATTCCTGTCCTCAGTTCACCCCAGATCTGGGTCTCTTTCAGCAGAGGGACCAGATGCAGCAGTGAGGGTAAGGCAGGGGACAGGAGTGGCCCGGGCGGAAGGGAGCAGCAGCCCAGGCCCACGCTCCTCCGGCACTGCCAGGCTCCACAGCGGCTCTACACACCCAGGCCCCTCTCCTTTCCCAGAGAGAACACCCTGCAGTGGACAGCGTCTGCAGGTGCATCCAAGAAGACCGAAGGGCTATGTGGCCCTCAGGCTCTGTTTTTGGGGGGCTACCTGAGAGAGGAGGCTTGGAGGGCACTTTATCGCACATGCCCTATGTCCCCACAAGGCCACACCCTTAGAAAATCACAAAGAAGCTATGTTTGAATTCACTTGAAGAATTAGAAAGTGGATGAGAATCCAAGAGACACTCTTAATTTCTTATTTGGCCAGGAAAAAAGCAAAAACCTGGCTCTGAAGCAGTCAGAAATAGAAGTTGGAAAAGAAGTAAGTGAGGTAAGTTCTAGTGGCTCTGCAGAGCAATTGATGACCCTGTGGATTTTCTTCAGGTTGGAGCCTAGGAGCTGAGGCCCTGCACGGGTTATGGGGAGGAACTCTCTCTGGATTACAGATGTGGCAAACCCACCAACCACAGCGAGGCAGGCTTCAAATGGGCATATCTATGCTCCTAGCATCCAAGTGGGGTGGAACTCAGAATGCAGTGACCTCCAGGTATGTTATTACACAGTTAGGAGGTCCTAGAGCTGTGCTCTAGCCACCACCCTCAAGCAGCTAGTGAACACTTAAAATGTGGTGAGTCTGAATTAAGATGTGTTGGGCCGGCCCGGTGGCACACTCGGTAGAGTGCAGTGCTTGGGAGTGTGGCAGCGCTCCCGCCGAGGGTTCAGATCCCATATAGAGACCGGTCCGCTCACTGGTTGAGCGCGGTGTGGGCGCGACACCGAGGGTTGTGATCCCGTTATGGGTCACGAAAAAAGACAAAAAGGAAAAAAAAAAAAAAGATGTTGTAAATGTAAAATACACACCAGACGTCAAAGATTGTGTGAAAAAAGTGTAAAATATATAAAATACTGTATTCATAATTTGAGATTGATTACAAGTTGACAATAATACTTTAGCTATACTGGGATAAATAAGTTAAAATTAATTTCACCTGTTTCTTTGTACTTTTTAAAATGTGGCTACTAGAAAATTTACAATTGGCTTTATATTTCTGTGGGACAACACTGGTCTAGACTCTAGAAGATACTCTGATTCTAGAGGATGTAAAGAACTTCTCGAAATCAATAAGAAAAATATAAGAAACCCAACTGTCCAATAGACACATGGGAACTTACCTCAGTGGTAAGGAGGGAATGGCAAACTCCAATCCACTGTGGGGACATGGGACAAGGCCACGAAGCACGGCAGCCCCTTCAAAAAGAGCAGCTTGGGAGGGGATGGCAGTAGGTTCAGATCCAGGGAGGACCATTGGCCTGCACCACCAACCACTGGATAATCAGCTGATTGTCACCTCCATAGGGCCCAGGCCATTGTCACTAAAAATGGCAGAGCCACTCAGCACCCTGAGCCCTGACCACAGGGCCTGAGCTGAGCCAGGCTTGTACCTCCACCTGCTTCCTGCCATCTCCTCCTTCAGCTCCCCACAGCCTGGACCAGGCACCTGTGCACTCCACAGGGGATACAGAGATGCACCACTGTGTCCCCCTCCAGGCAGGGCCCACTGCCTGCTGTAGGGAGTGTGGGCGGAGGACCTCTCCAGCCATCAGTGACTTCAGAGAGCTTCCTGGGGCAGCTCGCTGGTGACTGGTGCAGAGGCGCCACAGAGACACAGTGGGACTCCGTGCTGGGCAAGTCTGGAGCACCCCACCTGGTGGCTGAGGCTCTGTCATCCTGCACTGCAGGTGACTTCTCCCTCTGCACCATTCTGCTTCATCCTTTCACACATTGCTCCCAATAAACCCACAGCCTCTTCCATCCCAAATTCTCTCTGCATCTGCTTCTGGAGAGCCCAGCCTGTGACAAGCTCCACAGTGAAGGACGCCGGCATCTCCTGCATGACACCTGTGACCATGAGGATGGAGGTGGGAGGCGTGTCCCGGGAGATCCGGTTTGTCCTGCTGGTCCCCACTTCACGCACAACTTTGCTTCGGGACTGTGGCCTGCCAAGCCACAATGACTTCAGGCCACGGTCAGGCTCACGAGCTCAAACACTGCAGAGGCTCTAATTCCTTTAATAAACTCCTTATTCCATTTCACTCATAGTGGCTCTGGTCCCCTCAAGTCCTGATCCAGTGTCATTAGGAAAAAAAAAAAAAAGAAAGCTTCATGAAGGACAAAGAAGTAACATGATTTTTTTTTTTTTGTCTTTTTTTTTCTACTGACCGGTAACGGGATCGCAACCCTCGGTGTCGCACCCGCACTGCGCTCAGCCAGTGAGCGGGAACCGGTCTCCACATGGGATCCGAACCCTAGGCAGGAGCACCGCCGCGCTCCCAAGCAGCGCACTCTCCAGTGCGCCACTGGGCTGGCCCAGTAACATGATTTTTGAAACTGGGAAGTCCCTGCCCTAAACATGTTTTGTTTTAACTTTCCTGAAAACCCCCAGTTCAAAATTTATGGAATGTTTTATATGACCCTGAAGGATTTTTCAGTGTGTTCTTGCATCTTAAACATTAAGCTACCTTTTCATTTTTTAGTCCCATTTTATTAAATAAAATTTGTGGGAGGCCATTAATTTGGACTAGGCTCCTGCACTAAGCCTAACGGACCAAACTAATATGGAGTTAAACTACAGTAATTGAGTTTACAGTAGTTTGGTTAATTGTAGGAGGGTCTGTAACCAATTAAGCCGAAACCAATGAAGTCGTCTCTACTGCACTGCTGTTTCCTGTAACTGCTGTCAGATTACATGATTGGCTGGAGTTCTCTGAACCTGCTCTGATTCCAAGGGCTGCCCGATGCGTGAATTGTTTTTGTTTTGTTTGCTTTGCTTTGTTTTGCTTTGCTCTGTTTTGTTTTTTCTTTGCTCAAATAAAGTCAGTAAAAAAAAATTTTTTTTGTCTTTTTCGTGACCGGTAAGGGGATCACAACCCTTGGTGTGGTGTCACCCGCACCATGCTCAGCCAGTGAGCGCACCAGCCAGTTCTATATAGGATCCGAACCCGTGGCGGGAGCGTCGCTGCGCTCCCAGGGCCGCACACTCCCGAGTGCACCATGGGGCCAGCCCTAAAGTCAGTAAAATTTAAACTTGTCCATTTAATATGTTTTAAAGGAGGTTTGATTCTGAAGGAGTGAAATTCAAGAGTGTTGCGTGCAGGTCGTGGGCTTTAGAAACAGGAAAGATCCGTAGCATGAGATGTCAAGTGTGTGCTTTAAGGATTCCTGAGTCTAGACAGCCAGCACTGGGAAGTCCTCTCAGGTACAAAGGACCCTCCAAGAGGAAATGTGGAAACCCCAAGGAACATTGAAGACACGTTTCCTGCATTCAGGGCATGAAAGTTCCCCCCAACATCCCCAAGAGGATTGTTTCTGGAACCCATGGTCCATGGGGCCCTCTCTGCTCCCTGAGGTCTGGGGAAGATGGCCTTGAACTCCATACCCTTCCCCGATCCTCTAGTCCAGAGCCTGTGAGATGTGGGCTGCAGCAACGTCTGGTGCCCTACGCCTGCCTTCTGAGTGCGGTGGCTGCTGCCTCTCTGCCACTTTCTGAATCTTGTGCTGCTTCTCTTGGGGCCAACCCTGAAAGGTAGTCCCAGCTAAGCTAAGTTGTCACAGGGAAAACCACGACAGACACCAAACCAGATCATCACACTCCCCTGTCCCTCTGGACACTGGTCACCCTTTATGCAGACTGCCAAGGGGCTGACTGGGCGGAAGCCAGTGCTGGCACACCTGCCCAGCCAACGGGGGCTTGTATTCCAGCGCTCGGCCCCAACTGTCTTCCCTATAGACGGTCATCCAATCTGGGGAAATAAAGTGCAGGTAGTTATCAGAGTAACTGCCTCAACAAAGCCTGTTATTTACTGTGCGAATTAATTACTCTAAGTTAATAAATATTGCTTACACACATTAACAGAAACAATTTAGGGACTTCACAACTGCAGTGTTACCACTCAAAGACTGAAATAATGACCTGAAGAAAGGAAAAGGAATGAGTCAAAATTACACATTCCTGAAAATGGTTTATTCAAAGCTGATTAGTCAACCAAGAAACAAACCATAATATTAGGAATATTGATCAGTTCAACATTAAAAAACTTAAATAAGCTCAATCTTTACATACTAATTTGGAGCCACCTACAAGATGTATTAAGCAAAGATAACAGGATGCAGAACAGTGCGTGCTTTGCTAGTATTTGTGTTAAAAGAGGGGAAAGCATATATATATATATATATATATATATATATATATATGTTCTATATATTTGTATTTTATGTATACCCTGTATGTACATGGACATACACCCTATTTATGTGCTTACCTAATCCTGTGCTACTTCTGGAAAGACACAGTTAACATTGGTGTCACTGGTGCCTCAGAGAAGGGAAGTGGTGGCTGTGAGACAGGGAGGGAGGGACACTTTCACTGAGTAATATTTTATGCCTTCTAGCTTTCAATCATGCACAATTATTATCTACTGAAAAATAAAACCAAAAGCCAAACTACTTCCCCCAAAGCAGCAATAAACCATTAACAAACACACGTTAAGTTCATCACAATCAATGGTATACTGAGAGCTGCCTATGTGGTATTGGTGGCTTATACTGTCATATCACTTAAGAAAAAGAAAAGAATCTTATGAGTTCCTCTCAATCTCAATTCCTAACCTCACATATACATTTCAGAAAGAAATGAACAAACAGCCAGAGCTCTATGGTTTCTTTAAATGAAGCCCCGTGGAGGCCCTGGGTCTAGCAATTCTCCAGGCTGAGGTTCCTGGGTTGGGTGAGTTGGTCCTTGAGCCCTGGCCCAAACTTAGCAGCAAAGAGCGAGCAGATGAGATCATCCCCACTTTTCAGAGCCAGGTCATACGCTGTGTGGCCTCTTGTATTCTTCTTTTGTATGCTTGCATTGCATCTGCAAAGGAAATGGAGAGATGGAAGCGTATGGAAGGACTCGAGCACAGGACCCCGAGGGCCTGACTCTTCCCTGCCATGGAGGCCAGTCTGGGCACCTCCTGGTCCCACCTTCCCAAGCCTGTCCCCAAGAGGCCATTGTGACTTCAGCTCTTAAGGGGCTCTGTTATTTCAAAATATTCAACTGCCAATCCTGGGCACTGGTTTCCATTACATCAAAGCCCTATAAACAATTGTGTTTAATGGGGGCAACCTACTCCTTGTGCTTTCAAAAGCCCTTAGTGCCCTGCGAGCCATGGTGGGATGGTGGCCCCATTCACAGGGACAGTGGTTCAGGCACCAGCGTGCCTCTAAAATCATCATAGGTCAGTAGTGGGATCACTGTGGCCCTCAGAAGTGTCCACCAAGGCCAGGGAACCTACCCCAGTAAAGTGGCGATGCTCTCCCTTCCTGGCAGTCCAAGCAGACTTGCTTCATGAAGAGCTGTATTTCTGAGCCTGTGTGAGGAAAAAAAATAATGAAAATTCCTGGATAAATCCTTAGCACTGTCAGGAAATTGGAGAGGGCGCATGTGATCAAAGGGGCCTTGCTTTTACTCAGTGACCTATTTAACTAACCTGGGAAAATCTCTTATATCTCTTCTCTGCCCCTTCCCCTGGAGGAATACTGTGAGGGTGGGTAAGCTTTGATATTGGATAGAAGACAAAAAGTCTATAAATGCCCATTTTTTAATGTGAGAGACTGGCAAGAATATGCTTTGTAGTTGATTTAATAAATGGTCATAAATACTCTTTTAGAAAACTTCCTGTAAGAGTTTATGGAACATATTGGACAGTCTCAACTTTGGCTTGGACCTCTTGGGCATGGTCTGTATGGTAGAACATTTCAGGGCTCAGGTTCCTATTTTATCGAGGGAAAATGATGTTGGCTTCAGTGAGTTTAGCTGGCGTGATACAAAAACAAACACCAGTCTTAGAACCCAGCAGGCAAGCCTGAGAGATCATAGCAAGCTGCAATTTTATTTATTTTGTGGCAACACCAGGCTGTCTCTCTCTCTCCTGGTCAGGTTTGACCTAGTGAGGGAGGAGTCGATGGCTGAAATGGAGGATGGGGTGGTATCTGAATTCCTGAAAGGCTCCTGACTCAGAGGTCGTAGGAATGGAGAAAGGCGGGAGTCATGATTGTACATAGAAATGAGATAAGCAATTGGAGGTCTGCACGCTCCCAGCCCCTGTTCCTTCCCTTGACACCACCATCTTCGTTCCCCACGCCTGCAGCCAAGGGTTATCCCAACTGAGGAAAAGTATGTGGCATCTTCTCTGAAGATAAAGTGAGCCTCTGGTGAGAGGCAGGCCAGTCACGGCTGTGCCCAGACGGAAGCCTTCCACTTTCTGGCATTCAAGGATCCCAGCCTGGGAGCAGCTCTATCTACCCACAAAGCCCCTTGGTTGACGAGCTCCACTTATGTACAGAGTCCTCATTCATCCAGCCCACTCCCCATTCTCATATATGGATGGACAACAAAGAGCACAGACATCTGAGAAAAACCTGCAGCATCAAAGAGAAAAACCAAGATACACAAACACAAGAAACTTAAAACAAGACGAAAACCTAATTGGTATCGTCAGCATAATTCAGGACAATACTGCACAAAAATATGAGGCTATGGAAAAGAAACAATCAGAGCAAAAAGCATCTCTCAGAAAGTAAAAATATGACTGTTGAAATAAAAATTATTCAGTAGAAGGGATGGACAATAAAGTTTAGAAAATCTCTTAAAACAGAGAAAAAGATTTTAAAAAATGGAAAAAAGAAAAAGACAGACATAGGGGATCAATTCAAAAGGTCCACCATCCAACTAATAGTTCTACAGAAAAAATTCTTTTTAAAAAAAGGGTGTGGGGGTGGAGGAGAAAATACGAAAGGGATAACAGAAGAAATTTTTCCCGAGCTGGAAAAAGACAAGACTTTTTAGACTGAAAGGGTCAATTGGGTGAATGAAAAACAGCACATCTAACAATATCCTTGTGAGGTTTCAGAACACTAATGATTCATGCTTCCAAAAAGAATAAACAAATTGGTCACAAACAAGAATTTGCTATAGTATTTTTATGAGCTATAATGATGATAATTCAATAGTGTGGGATAAATGAAGATAACACAGTATGATGGATGTAAACCCTCAGAAAACTTGAGAAAGTAAATTCCAGCCATCAAAGTTTTACACCAACATACCAAGCATTCTGCTATAAAATAAAACTAAAAACAGGGTAGTATCTACTGATATAGCTGTCCTGTTAAGCAGAAACTTATAAAAATGCATATAAAAAATCAACAAGAATATATTATGAATAATAACACTAGGGAATATTTTGGAGCAGAGAACAGTAGCAGCAAAGATATTGAGATTTTGGCCCCTGTGGTGGCTTGACACACACAGTAGCATGTGTCACTGGCCTGGGCCTCAATCTTGTCTCAGTAATTCAGGAGGTGGTAGCGTTAGATACCACTGATATCCCCAGAAACATCTATTTCAACAACTTGGTCAGCAGGATGTAAGCAGTTATTTAACTTAAACCTGAATGACTCATACTCAAGAACTTTCCACCCCACCTTTCCAAAGTAATTTACATGAGAACAGGCTGGGAGAGAAGGTCATGGGGCAGGACTGGACCAAGACTGGGACAGTGAGTAACGTGGCTGGTACTTCTCTGGCCTGTTTCACAGGTGGGGAAACCAAGGCACCAGGAGATCATGCGGTGAGCTCAGAGGCACCAGCCTCCTGCCCAGTGGTGCTAGAACCGTGTAACATTTTCCTTCTGCATCCACTCGAGGGGTATATTTCCACAGGGAATACACTGGGGCCTCCCTTCCTGCAGTGTTCATCTTAACAGTTGAGATCACGATGAGAATGTGGCTTAAACACTCCAAGGGCTAAAGATTTGCGGGCCCACACATCTACATTTGTGAGTTAACAACATAAATCATCATTTATGAAAGCTACTAAGCTAGGCAGCCCAACGGTCCATTTAAAAAATTTGTTTTACCAGCTTTGGAAAACAGAAGTCGTCAGCCTCTTTTTAAGGCCGAAATAGGTAAAGTGGCTGTTAAAGGTTCGGAGCGCACGGGGCGCTGCAGACGGGCAGCTGCACGAGCTGCCGGGCTCCGCTTACGCTCCGTGCTGCCGGTCCACATCTGCTCCTCTCTGCACAAGAACTGGAATCGCCTCGTGGTGCTTATTCACCACAGTCACGGTGAGAACGGGGCGGCCTTCGCTGTCACTGCAGTTGGGGTCTGCTCCCTGCAGCACACGGAAAAGGACAAACTCGCCTCAAAACCCTGCACCCAACAGTGTCGGCTGCCTTCCTGTCAAGTGGAACGAATGTCTTGTTAAAGACATGATGGGACTAAATGCTTTTAGGTCACAGGAGGGGAGAATCGGGAACTTCAAGACTCAACCCGTAACGCACAGTGCTGCTGAGTCACCCAGAGGATAGAATCTGTTCCCCACATCTGGAGGGGCAGGCACCCTGACCGCCTGGCTTCTTCAGGAAACCCAGGCTCAAGGTCGCACGGGGGCATGGACCAGGGATTCTGCCAGCGTCATGCATGTTACCTGGGCTTAGGTGGGCTTGTCTGCCTATCTTCTTTGCTATAAAAACTGGCAACAGGTAACAATTAATGTAAAGCTTTCGACTAGCCACCTACTCCATCCCCAAACACTTTTTAATTAGCAGGCAGTATAATTTTCACAGTAGTGAACAGAACTTGCATCTGAAAGGGACAGAGGTGGAACACCAGCCTGAGCTCCTCAGCAAGCTTCTTCCTCTGGCCACACTCACTTCATCCAGCAGCTGTTCAATCACAGAGACTCTTCCTGCCCCCATCGGACCGACTTCCTTCAGCAGGAGTCTGTCTTCAGGCTGTAGGATTACAGAACACCAACCGTCATTCCTGCTGCCTCAACACTCCAGGCAAACGCTTCCTCTCCTAGGTTAGAGGCCATGTTCTCGGTTGAATTCTAAGCTACAGGGACAGGTGAGTGTGAGTGTGTGCACAGGTGAGGCTGTGTGCGTGCATGGACTTCAACAGCCAGCAGCACAAACATCCACATCTGATGTCACCCTTGCTGGTCTCTGGTACCCTGCCTTGGGCAAGGATAGCCCAAGTTGTTTTATATTATTAAGGACAGGGATGTAATGAGAAACCTCACAAAACCCCAGAAGTTCCACACTAGTTTTATTATGACTATTTCTAGGAAAATCAACCAGGCGAATTCTAAAATATACTTTGCAAGCTTTATAAAGTATTTAAGATCAGCCTAAGTATGACAGTTCAGAAAATGTGCTCACTTGAGGAACAAGTGAACCAAGAAAGTTGACCCCTTGTTTAGGAAAAAAGCTCTCATTTGTCATCAGAGATCTGAAAACTTACCTTTCATATTTTAAAATGCTGTGAAATTTATCTTTATATGTAATCATTATATATAGCAAGTTTCAAATGCTGGAAGACTGAAGGAAGCAGTCTAGAAAGCAGGAGACGTTACATCTTGTATGTTTCTGCCACTGCAGCCCAGGAATGACTGTGGGGTGGTCACGGGACCACCATTTCTCTATTTGTAAAGTGGAAATAACAGCCCCTCCCTGGCTCTCCAGAAGCCATGAGGATGATGACATTGATTAAGACTTCTGAGCCTTTCAGAAGAAAATGGCTGGTCAAGGCTGTGTCCCCTGGCCCTTGCTGTCCCCATCTCTCTGGTAAGTAGTTTGGAACAAGGTACTCTAATCAGTAAACCTCCAGGAGGGCTCTTGCGGGGCACTTGTTTACACTGAATTCCATTCCTTATGGAAAAATGTATTAGAATGCACTAGAATGTCTGCTTCATGAGGTTTGAGACCTTTATGTCTTTTGTTCATGTCTTATTTTCAACACCTATAACCATGCCAGGCACATGTGTGCTCAAAAATAATCACTGAATGAATGAACGAATGTTATAACTTCTGACACTTATCCCCTAAATGCAAATGAGAAAATAAAAGCATATAGCCATGGGAGATTCAGGACACATGCACAGTAAGTAGAGATTCCAAAATCATAAATTATCAAGCTTATGGAAGTTCTTTTTATACTCATTAACAATATTTTAAACTGGGAGGTGGAGAGTAAAAGAAATCATAAGGAATAAACATTAAAACAATTCTAAGGTCTTCTTTCCAAATTGATTGGTGTTTATTGCATGCAAAGCATGTGGTGGGAAAAACACAGTCCCTGCCTCCAGAGGAATCACGATACAAGCTGGGCGGCTGGTTGCCTGCACCACTGAGGAAGCCTCGGGAGCCTGGCGGAGCTGAAGGTGGAAGGAAGGCACTGACATCGTGCTGTCTCTATTGTGGGGACTGGAGCCCAGGCTGGGGGCTTGCTGCTGATCACATCCGTTCTCCCTACTGCAGCCAAAGAGGACCCATCAAAAGCCAAGGTGGGGAGCAAGGGCATTTGCTGTCCCTTTCTCCAAAGCTCCTTTTGGAATTCTTCATGGTATGTATTTTTGCAAAACAAAACTCTAACAGGTGTGGGAAGCTGAAAGTGTACCTGCCATCAGCGGACCCGGTTATTTTGAGGGATTCCAAGAAGACTGAAAGTAGATGAAATCTGACTGACAGGGAAATCAAAGCAAAGAAAAACCAGCTGAAGACTGTGGAAGTGTCAGTGTTTTCTCTCAGGGGAGCCCTGCAGAGCTCACAGTGAGTAACTGAGGAGGGAGGTGTTGGGTGCAGGCTGCATGCATGGGTGTTATTAAAGGGCTCTGCTGTGAGCAGTTGCTGCGACAGCTGGGGCCTGTCCCTTTCTCTCCCAAGGACGAAGGGCAGGAGGTCTGTGCTCTCTGCTTAAACCCTGGTAACTATTTTCCAGATAGTACATGGCTTGCCCAACAAAGGCTTCAACTGGGAGAACTGGGGCCCAAGAAGGGAGAAGGGCAGAGCCCAGACCTCCACAACAGACAGGGGAGGGTTAGGAGGGCAAGGAGGGAAAGACAGCTCCCTCCAGGACTGAAACACGCTGGAGCACTTCACATCCCCAGCACCCACACCACCAGAGGGAAGACCTACACTGCAATGCAGGGGACCTGAAGGCGTCCCCTGCCCCCTGCCCACACACTCTCTGGAAGTCTGCCCCACCTCATGCCCATCCACCCACACAGGGACTTTGGGCCCACATGCCCATGCTGGGCACCCATGCCAGGTGCCTGTGCTAATCCTTCATTTGTCAAATGACCAGACGACGGAGAATCATCACATATTTGAGGCCAAGCAAAAAGGAGAGAGAGGTGGGAAGATAGACCCGAGAGGAAACACGGATAATTCAGAAAACTGATGAGAACTTTTAAATAATTCTAACTCATAATCTTGAGATATTTTAAAGGATTCTGCCTCCATAAAATAAAAATATGCTGTTATTTAAAAAAGGAATAGAAATGAGAAATTATTCTTCCATTTAAAAAATGTCAAAATAAAACATTAAAATGACAGGCTGAAGAAGACAGCTATAAGGACCAAGGGGCACACATACTGTAAGCTGCTCCTTTTCCCGAAATTTTTTGGTTTTGAAATTCCTGATCCTCTTGGCTTTTTCATTGGTATCTGAGGTACTCTGGCTGCAGTCGCTCACTGCAATGACAAAGAGAACAAAGAGTTGAGGAGCACAGTGCTGTCCCCTGCCCCACTCCCCACAGGCAAAGAGCTGCTTCTACTGCTATGCCCAAGAAGTCAGAGGGACAGAACGGCTTTTATAGAAATTCCTATTTGATTAAACCTGGCAGGAGGGACTCCTGGAGTCACTCCCCTGTCCAGGAGCCAGAGGATGGGCGGAAAGGAGGGGGATGGAAGGGACTTCAGTTTTGGGGTCCAAAAGAGCACCCTCCAAATGAATCTCACCAAACCCTGGAGAGGACTTCAAAAGTCTCATGCCTCATGTCAGAGAAGCCAGAGAAATAAAATGGCTAGAACACAAAACTAAGGTGTGTGGTTGGGCTGTCAAATTTTAAGCGATTCGGGCCGGCCCGTGGCTCACTTGGGAGAGTGTGGTGCTGATAACACCAAGGCCACGGGTTCGGATCCCATATAGGGATGGCCGGTTCGCTCACTGGCTGAGCGTGGTGCTGACAACACCAAGTCAAGGGTTAAGATCCCCTCACTGGTCATCTTTAAAAAAAAAAAAAAAAATTTAAGCGATTCTCTGCCATCCTTGCCAAGTCAGTGTGGTCAATTGTTTTAAAATCCCCAGAAGGGTACAACTCACCCAAGCTGGACCTGCTGCTGAACAGGGCATTCCCACCCTCGGTGACGCAGCTCAGAAAGTGCTTGCTGAAATCCACCGCCTTGTTGAGGTAAAGGTTCTGGCCAGTGAAAGAGTCAAGCACCGCGCATAGTGAGGCTGCTGTGTCCCAACGGAGAGAATAATCCCTGCTAACCTTCCCCTCCTCGTAAATGACAGTTCTGCCCACCCAGACAGTCGAGCCCGAGCCTCCCTCAGCTCCCAGCACGCTCAGCCCATCACGCCTCCTCCTCAGCTCCTCAGTCTGGCCCTCCTCTCTGTCACTACAGCCACAGCCCCCTCGCACACTGTGACCATCACAACAGCTTCCCAATGGGTTTCTGCCAGCCCACCTTCCATGTGGCTACCCCAGTAATTGTGTCCTTCCCTGGCTTAAATCAATTCTGTGTCTGGGAATTAGGGTGACATGCTGGAGAGGCTTCAGGCTGCAAAGGTTGAATCCTGGTTCTGTCACTTACTAGCTTAGTGGCCTTTGAAGAAGGAGGTTCCTTAACTGAGCCTCCGTTTTCTCACCTATAAAGTGGAAATATGACCTACTGCAAAGGGGTGTTGTGGAAGTAAAATAAGGTAAAAAAAAAAAAAGGTGTCTATAAAAGGAGGGGAGAAACATAGGCCACACATGGACCTCCGTGTCCACCTGGACCAATTCCACAGAGCAGCACCCCGCCCCATGCCCTGGCTGCCTGCTCCTGAGCACTACAGCGCGTGTGCTAAGAAAAAAGACATATGAAACCTGGGGATAATTACTCCACTTCTACCTGATAGACAGCACGTTGTAGATGATGTTGGCGGCCTGCCCAGCTCCCGCTAACCAGCCAGACTACCCATCCCAGCTGCTGACAACTCAGAGCTGACCATCTTCGGTAGAGAGAACTGCCCTCGGTAGACAGGCACTGCCTTGACCTAGAGGTTATGCACTCCCCTCCCTGCCCCCGCTGGGGACAACTCTGTGGTGGGATTCATGCCCCAGAGCTCCCCATGGGTCATGCTAAAGCTAGACTTTACTTCTGACTACCTGCTCATTCCACCCCTTCTCCTGCCTTGATCTGCTCCCTGCCTCCCCTTCTCCTGAAGTACCTCCCTGACCAAGCTTGCTCCAGCCACACAACCACAAGCATAGCCCTTCGTGTTTACCTGGTTTCAAAGCGCTTCCGTGTGCATTAGCCCATTTGATACTCCCAGCCTCCCCCTGAGTTAGGCAGGGCCCATGTATCTATCCTAGTTTTAATGACACCGTGAGCACCTTGCTGGGCAGATAGCCAGGGTCTAAGAAATGTTAGTTCCCCTCTTTTTCCTGGCCTTCTTTACCCATTTCTTAATCCATTAATTATCCTTTTATATATTCTGACTTGTCCAATAAAACTAAAGCCACTAATATTGATCAATTAATGTTTATCATACACTTACAGGCTCTGTGGCAACACCCCAGTCACCATGTAAGAGGGAAGATATGGTGAGTCATGGCCACAAAGTTTGGTTTATTTTATATATGAAAATAGGTCAAAGTGCATATCAGTGAACATTTTTGTCAGTCTTTCCCCAAATCAGTTGTATCACAGACATGCCGTCAGACTTCAGTGAGAAAGAAAGCAATACTGGGAACTACAGGGCTGAAGGTGGGTAATCATTTCTGTACTTTTTATAGCTTTATGTGCCTGAAAGCTGGCTTCTCTGAGGTTTAGTTCAACTATTTCCCTAATTCTATGAAAGTGCTTGCCTACAGTTAAGTTTCTTCATATTTCAAACTCTTCCTTTCTGTAGATTACACAGAAGCATTTCTATAAACTGTTAAGCTGCAATTTGCTAGAGTTCAGTCAATTCTCAAGTGAATAACTGCTGAAGGTTTACTTACCTTGTTTGAGACTTGAATATAATTCAGTGTGATGCTAACTTCACAGCCATCTTCGTGGACAGAAGCCGAGATAAGCTTTTAAAAGAGTTTGAGAGAAATCACAACTATGGGTGTGGGACTCACCGCCTTGAGCAACAGCCTAGAAACTCTGAGGTGCTAAACTCTAAATTTAATCAAATATTTAATTAACACAAAAGAAGGCAGGAAAAGAAAAAGTAACAGATAGGAAGAATAAGTTCTGGTGCCTTAGGGTTGAGGTGCTAAACTCTAAATTTAATCAAATATTTAATTAACACAAAAGAAGGCAGGAAAAGAAAAAGTAACAGATAGGAAGAATAAGTTCTGGTGCCTTAGGGTGACAATAGCTGATAATATTGTATTGTGTATTTCAAGACAGCCAGAAAAGAGGATCTTGAATATTATAACCACAAAGAAATGATAAATGTTTAGGTGATAGAGATGCTAACTATTCTGATTAGATCATTATACTATATATGCATGTACTGAAACAACAAACTGTACCCCGTGAACATGTACAATAAAAAATGTTTTTAAAAAAAGAAAAACAGAGGAACAAAAATGAGATGAGAAATATAAAACAAAGAGCAACATGGCAGACCCAAATCCAGCCACATCTATAATTCCACTAATTATAAAAAAATACTCAATCAAGGCGGCCGGCCCGGTGGTGCACTGCTACAGTGCGCCGCTTGGGAAGCGCGGCGGCGCTCCCGCTGAGGGTTCGGATCCCACATACAGACTGGCCGCTCACTGGTTGAGCGAGGTGCGGGCACAACACCGAGGGATGCGATCCCGTTGCCGGTCCCGGTCCGGTACGGGCGCGACACTGAGGGTTGCGATCCATTGCCGGTCACGAAAAAAAGACAAAAAGGAAAAAAAAAATACTCAATCAAAAGACAGAGACTGCCACACTGAATCAGAAAGCAAGATCCAAATTTGTACTTTGTTCAAAAGACCCACTTTAATTAAACCACATGACTATCCAGTCATCACCTTGGGAAAGGTGTCCTAGTTGGGGGGGGGGGCGCTGGGAGGGGGAGGTCTTGGCAATTAAGGGACAAATCTCACAGTTGAGCAGCTTTCTCTGTAAGTAGCAGGAGGAACTTGGATTCAACCAGCAGGCAGCAAATGTTTTCAGGAAGTGTGTCAGATAGTAAATATTTTAGGTCTTGTGGGGCCATATGGTATCTATCACAAATAACATTGCTGTTGCAGCACAAAGCAGCCAGACAGCAAGTAAATGAATAGGTGTAGCTGTGACCCAATAAAACTTTACTTATACAACTGGACAGTGGGCCATGTTTGTCCACAGGCCATAGTTTGCAGACCTTCAGATTAGGCCAAAGAATTTCTAAACTACCAACATAGCTTGTCAATGGAAATTGAGCCAATACTTGAAAATGAGACAGTTTCAGTGTTGGCCTATTTGGTGGCAGAAGAGCGGATGGTCTAATTTGAAAAGGTTCCTTCTAGTCTTGCAATAAACAGAGGAAAGGGCCTCTCACAGAGCTGTCTCTTTGTAATGGCGGTACAGTGCCAAAGAAAGGGCGTGGGGCTTGGGCTCTGACAGACCTGCTTCAAATTCTGAATCCTCTAAGACCAAGCAATGTAGTCTTGGGCAGGTTACCAGACATCTCTGAGCCTGTTTTTCTGGATGTCAAATAAGGCTTGTTCTGATTATCTACTGCAGTGTAAAAAACCACCCCAATCAAAGCACCACTAAACAAGCACCACTTTGCTATGTTCATGGATTCAGACAGGGGACAGCAGAGACAGCTTGTCTTTGCTCCACAGGTCTAAGGCCTCAGCTGGGAAGACTCAAATGGCTAGAGGTGGCTGGAATCATCCAGAGTGTGGTCATTCATCCACCTGGCTCCTGAGCTGGGATGACTCGAGGACCGGGTCCAGCGGGGGCTTAGCTGGGTGCACCTACATGTGTCTTGGGCTTGTCATAGCAGGGTGGCTAGGCTCCAAGAAGGAGTGTTGGAGACGAGTGTGCCAAGCAAGAGGAAGCTGTGTGGCCTTGTGTGACCAAGCCTTGGAAGTCCCATAGCATCACTTCCACCATATTCTATTAGTCAGAATGTCACAGGCCCACCCAGATTCAAGGGGAGGGGACATAGATTCTACCACTGGAGAAGACTACCAAGGAATTTCTAGCCATTTTTAAAAACTGCCACAAAGGTGATACTCCTCCGCTGCAGGTTTGTTATGAGGACTAGAACAAGGAACGTGATGCTGATACTGAGTGCACTGTAAAATGGCAACTCTTAGGATTCCTACTGCTGTCACAGATTAACAATGTATGATTTAAGTGCACAATTTAGGTGCACTAAACTCGTCCTAGGTCATTTAGCTCTGACCATCTGAGTTTCCACAGTGTGTGGCATCTAAGCACGAGATATTCAGAATCTTCCTTCTTTTTCTTTTTTAATAGGAAAGCGTGTTTGTTTATTTTATTTTTGGCCACAAGTCTTTTTTTTTTCTTTTAAGAATAAAATCACTTTAGTGAGCAACTTTTCATTTGGAAAGGTCATTACAGTATCACTGGCAAAATTCAACAAGGAGAGATGCCACTGACTGGCTGTATCCTGGAAGTCACTGAGGAACACCAATCTTGTATGCAGGAAAGGGGGTGGGTGAAGGGCAGGGTCCATAAGCCGGCCTTTCTTCCTGCTGTCACCAACCTGATCTGCAGCTGAGACAAGACCAAGTGGTTGGGGGGAGGTTTGGAGGGAACCAGTCTTGTCATTGATGACCCCTGGCTGGGCTGGGAGGTGGGTGGTGCAGTGAATACCTGGCCCCAGGTTCAGGTCAGCGAGCACCCAGAGGAGGGTTGATGGGTCCCTGCATTTTCACACACTTAAAAGTGACATGTGAACTGTTTCCTTGAAAAGCTTTCTTCCACCGAGCCCTAGAAGAGTCCCATGAGCTTCCTTCCACTTTCATGCAGACCGTGGGAGGGAGGACTGAGGGACACAGCCCAACTGCGGCTGCTCCCACCCCGTCAAGTGCAAGTCTGGGTGAGGGCCTGGGGGAAATGCTAACCATAAAGTACAGCTCCTTTTCCTGTCCCTATCCAGGCTCCCATCTGATCCCTGAGAAACTAGGGGTGCATAACACCCCTGGGAGGCCAGCCAGGTCCAACAAGGAGAAGGTCCTTTTGGTGAAGTTAGTTTCTCTATCCCTGAGGTCAGAACCAGCATGCTGGGGGACTGCTTTCCCAGGGCCAATTCACCACTGCAGTTGTTGGCTCCTACTTCTTCCTGTCTCGATGCTTCCAGAAAAGCAGCCAGGTTATTCAAAGTGTAGTGAATACAGAGCTGACCCCAAGTTCCAGGCCAGCTGAGGTGCAAACTCCTTGGGGTCAGTTGTCCCTTGGCTAGCCATCTGTTCAGGAAGCTGCCTTGGAAAACACAGAGCCCCTCCGGGCCTTCAGCTGCAGGCTCACAGCAAAGCCTCCATTGCTGGGGAGGGAGCCTCATTTCAGGAAGTGTTCTTAAACTTCCATCCTGGGCTGGGTCAGTGCAGATGTCTTATCCTTTCTCTCTTTCTCATCACCAAATCCGCCTTTTTGGTGTCAACGGAGGGGCTCAAACATTAACCCGTTACATTTTCACAAGCCCTGTAAAGCAGAAGGGTCCAGGCACATGTGATCTTTCTGCATCCCTCTAGACTGATGGGGAAATCTCCAAACCATGTGTACTATGACTGCACACATCTGGTTGGTCTTGGCCTGGGGGTGGGGTGAGGAACAAAGCCATTCTTGACAAGTCTTTTCTTCTCCCTTCTGACTGCTGCTGGCAGTGGAGATGCAGGCATCTTGGGTTGGGGTGGAAGATGGGTGCCCTGCCAAGCAAGATTACGGAGGTCCAGAAGGGCCATGATTGGCACAGCTGGAGAACAGGCCTGGGGGCTGGAGGCGAGTTGCATGGGAGAGAGGGCACTCAGCTCGGGCTTATTGGCCAGGACCCCTCCTTTGCCAAGTCAGGAGAAGAGCACTTCACAGAGCCTGCATGTATCCTTGGGCACTGCCACAGCGTAGCCCACGGTTCTTGGGTCTGTGAAGATCTCATGGTCATTGCCACCTGGCATGGTTTTATCTCAAAAGAAATAAATGGTCTTATAACCGTCATTTTGCACATGTTGTAGGCAATACATTTTGTCTCATCCATCAGGAAAGACATCAAAGCTGATCTGGCCTCCTGTGGAAAACATGAGGCCTTTTCCTGCAAACTCTGTAGATCTGTTACAAATTTTTAAATTATGTTTTCTTTCTTATCAAGTTCGTAGAACTCAATGCGTTCTTCTTGGCTGCAGCTTCTTCCAGTAAGGGACGCATTTAACATCCCATTTCGGAATTCAATGAAAGTACCCCTCTTCTTTGGGAGTTCTATTTTCGAAGTGTAGCTCAGACAGTAGTTGATTAAATCTTGGATTAGGGCCTCACCCAGGTGACCCTGAATATTCTGTTTATACAAGAGTTTCTCATCTTTGTATGCTACCAAGCCATTTTCTGGAAACACAATTGTATTTTCAACCACATCGTTTCCCAGTTGTTCCCGCACTTTCTCAAAGCCTGACCTGCCTACCACTCCAATTCTGATCTTCTGCCTCAATTTTTGTAGAAAGCCATCCATTTCTTTGGTAATTTTCTGCCGCGGGGCCATCAGGGTCCCATCCACGTCAAAGAGGCAGAGCACCGGGCCAGGCACTGCCATGTCCCCAGGGTCCATCCGCACCTCCAAAACAAGTCTTAATAAAATTTTAAAAACTAAGATCATAGAAAATATGTTCTCTGACCAAAATAACAGGAGGAAATCTAGAAAATTTACAAATGTGTGGAAATTAAACACTTGCCTAAATAAACAATGAGTAAAAAGAAAAATCACAGGGAAATTAGAGTGTACTTTGAGATTAAGATCATAGCACAACATATCAAAATTTATTGGATGCAGGGCTCATGCAGTGCTTAGAGGAAAATTTATTCTTGTAAGCACCATATTAAAAATAAGAAAAACCCCATATAGTAATGTAAAAAACTTCTACCTTAAGAAAAAAGAAAAAGAATAGCAAACTAAACCAAGAGCAAATATAAGTAGGAAATAAAGATTACAACAGAAATATATGAAATAGGGAATTAAAAAACAATAGAGAACATCAACAAAACCAAAAGTTGATTCTTTAAAAAGATCAACAAGGGCCGAACCCGTGGCTCACTTGGGAGAGTGCGGCGCTGGGAGCGCCGAGGCTGCAGGTTCGGATCCCACATAGGGATGGCCAGTGCGCTCACTGGCTGAGCGCGGTGCGGATGACACCAAGCCAAGGGTTCCGATCCCCTTACTGGTCACACACACAAAAAATCAGAAAATTTGCAAACTTTTATCTAGACTGACCAAGAAAAAAGCGAGAAGACCGAAATTACTAAAATCAGAAAGAAAGCAGGGGCACGGTAGAGCAGTTGCTGCTTCTATTACTCTGGAGTGGGCTTCAAGGAGAGAGAGACGTCCTCTTCTTTTTCCGGTCGCCACTGGTAATTCTCCTTGTGTCACTGCAGTCGAGTGTCTGGTGGGCCGCCTGCACGGTGGCTGTGGCTACGGCTGTGGCACTGAGCCACTTGTGCAGCAGCCACGGCTGAGGTGGTGGCTGTGGCGGGCCACCAGCGTGGAAGGGGTGTTTTCGGCATGCTTCTTGCCTGCTTCCAGGCAGGGGATGCTGCCTTTGGCTCCTGCCTAGAACCCCAGGTGTGTTCTGTTTCTTGCCTGGTTGCAGGCAGAGGGGGCTTGCCATTAGGTCCCACCTAGGACCCCAGGCGAGCTCTGCTCAATGTTCAGAACCTTATTGTCTTTGGTCGGGTGCCCCAGAAGCAGACGCTGGGACAATCCTGATGTGCAAGTGATTTATTATGACAGAGCTCACAAGGAAGAGGTGTGGAAAGCAGAGCAGAAAAGGGAAAGGAGCCAAACGAGGGGCGATTTCAGGCAAAGTGCATGCAGGGTACCCTCAGCCTAATCCCCTGGATGCTCTGGAGTGGAAATTTCACCTCACCCACCTTTCCCATCCTGGGCTCTGCAATCAAGGCCCGGAATTCAGGGTTGTTCTGAGCATAAGACCTGAGGTGAGCAGAGATGTGATCCAACTGTTTTCTCCAATATCCTAAAAAAGAAGAGAAACCCAACCATATGGATAATTCTCCTGAGGTTAAGAAAAATGCTAGTGTGGGACATATGTTCTCAGAGAGGTTATTTTCCTTTGCCAAACTTTGTGATGGTTTTTCCTTATTGGACCTTAACTATGCACTGGAATAAGTTCCATTTTTTCCCCTAGCTTCTTGTTACACATGCTAAATCATAGAATATTATAGAATCTCAAAATAACACAGTTTGATTGCTACGCATAGGGTCATTTCTTTTTTCTATCATTCTATCCCACGTGTAACTTATATAATATTTTAAATGGACGAGTTTGAGTTTTGGCAAATTTATACATCCCGATCAATATACAGAAGATTTCCATCATTCCGAAAAGTTCCCTTACGTCCCTTCCCACACATTTGAACTAACTAAACACACTTAACACACATAAAACACATTTGAATTAGCTGCCACCATTTAAAACCTGGGAGGTTTCACAGAAGTCTGGATGTCTGGTTTCTCCCGTGCACGTAAAAGATGCAGCAGCCCTGGGCCTGCCTTCCAGCACAGGCTCAGTGCCTGGGGCGGAGGAATGGCCAGCGGCTTTTGTCAGGGCATGGGCCCTCCAGCCAGCCACAGCCCCTGCAGCATCACCTGCCTTTACTTCCCTGCTCTGCCCTGTGGCCACAAACCCACATCACATTCCAACCTCATCTTTTTACCAGTGAGAACACTGAAGCTGAGAGCAATCAGTGGTTTTTTCCAAGGTCACCCAGCATGGTTTAGTGGAAAGAACATGATTTGGAGTTCAGACAAGCCTGCATTCAAATCCTATATCTATCATTTACTAGCTTATTAGTGAACTTGAGCCTGACGCTTAAATCTTGCTTAGCTTTACTTTCCTTATTTGTAAAATGGGACTAATACGTCCTACCTCATAGGTTATTATGACATTAAATAAGAGAACTTAAGTGTCTTGGTTTGGGTCCTCCTGAAAGCAGAGCCTGAGACAAAGATTTAGGACAGGTGTTTTCCTAGTAAGGTATCCTGGGAAGCACAAATGATGGAGTAGAAACAGCAGGACAGTGAAGGGAGGGAAGAAAGAATGTGCTAAAAACTGGTTAATACTATGGGCGGCTGGGGTGGACCCTACTGCATACCTATGAGGAATCATGAAGAACATACCTCAGAGTTGTCCATTAAAGAACACAGAAACCGGGGCATTTGCTGTCCAGCTCCCTCCCCTACATGGAGAGTAACATTAACTACTAGTAGTGTTAACTCCCTAGGACTTCTGAGTTGCACCTGCCATGGATAAGCAGCCCTCTGCTGTTCTGGAGAAAGTCAGAGGAAGCCAAGCCAAGAGAGAATATGTGGGACATTTGATGACATATGGCTAGCAATGATGCATGAACTGTCCACTGCACTGAAATCAGGTGGGCTGAGGAGATCTGGTGTTGGACATCACAAGGGTCCACTATGAGTAACTGGGATAACACTAAAGATCACACTGAGCCTAGCACAGTGTGTGGCACAAAGGAGTCATTCATTCCACAAACATTTATTGAGCATCTACTATGTGTCATGCACTTTCCTAGGGCTGGAATATAGGAGTGAACCGAGTAACATACATTCTAGTGGTCACAGGTAATATGTAAATAAATCTATATAAATGTAGCAGCATGTTGGGAAAATAGAATAATTTAATCAAGCTCCACTCGCCTCAGAGCCGGTTTGGGGTGGTTCAGAAAGCAATTGTGTGTGTAGGTGGAGTTGGTGCGCGTGCGTATCACCACAGCTTTGGCTGACGCCAACTGCCTCGGGTGGGACGCTGCTCTGTGCAGCCATGCTCCAACCTACGGCTTCCAAGGACCTGTTTGCCAGTTACCTAGCTCACAGACCTGCGTGTAAGGGGTCCGGGGACCCAGCCTGGCGTGTGAAGGGTTTGTGACCCAGTCTGTGAACGGGCTTGAGGGGTCTGTGAGCTCCAGACCCAGCCCTAGCTCGACAATTGGCGCTGTGAGCAGGATTCCGACATTAGCCCTAGTGCTAGAGAGTATGTTAAAAAGTTCTGCCTGATAATCTACAATACAATAGACATACAATTCCAAGATAAAATCTCAGTTCTCAAGAAGCATTGAGAGAGGACTTTGTGAGGGGGTCCTTTGGAAAGGGTCATTGTAGACTGTGAGTCCTCCTTTGAGAGGTGAGGTCTGCTCTCTTCCAGTTCAGGCTGAAGAGGGTATTGCCTGCTGCTATAGGAAACTGAAGACCTGTTTTTACTATCGATTGCTGCCAAACAAAACACCCTGGAACTTAGTGGTTTAAAACATCAACACTTTATCATTCACACTTCTGTGGGTCGAGAACGTGGTCAGTGCTCTGTAGGGATGGCTCATCTGCTCCACATGGTCTCAGGTGAGCCATCTCAGCTGGGGCTGGTGGACCTAAGATGATCATATCCATAAGGCTGAGGCACAAGCTGCTGGCATCTGACTGGGATGGCTGGGCCTCTCTCTTCTCATGGTTGCTGTCTGCACTCATTCTAATGCCTGGAGTCTTTGTGTTGGCTTTTGGCTGGGGTGCCTCTGTTCTCCTCCATGTGGCACCTCTCCTCATTTAGGAATCTATACTGAACTTCTTTACATAGTGTTGGCTTCCTAGAGAGTAAGTAGGAGCTTTCAGTCCTCTTAAGGCCGAGGCCTAGAACTGTCATGGTGTCTCTTAAACCATTTTCTATTGGTCAAAGTAAGTCACAAAGCCAGTCCAGATGAAACTGGTGATTTTAATTAAGAAATTAAAATTTTAGTTTTTATTTAGCTTGCTCTTTGTCTTGCCAATAAAATTCTGCTGACAAACTGTTTCTGTGAGACTACTGACATATGCATAACTAAAATAGATGAGTCAAGACCATAAGATTTTTCTTCTTGCTTTCCGTTTTTTAAGATAACATCTCTGATGCAAAAGTCACAAGCTGTTTGGCTAGGATGTTTTTCAGGACAGTCAAGAGTCAGCTTCATCCAGCACAAACCTGTCTGAACTGGATGTGCCCACAGACCTCCCTTCTGAGCCTGTATGAGTGTCCTCTGGGTGATCTTTTCACATCTGAGGGCCCAAAACGCCACCTCCAGTCATGCTAATGCTGCCATTTTTTGAACATGCGATGTATGAAGCAGCACGCAGACAGCTTGAGCTTGTGTAGATTGCTGGAGAACTTCCTCAAACCCTTTATCCAACCACTGTCCTATAGGACCCTCACTACTCCCAATTCATTCCCCATAAATGTTCCTAACTCCCTGCCATGGAGAAGGTGGATCTGAGACTCCTCCATTTCTTTGCTTGGCTGTCTTGCAAGTAAACATTTTTTTCTGCTGCAAAGATCGGTATCTCAGTGTTGGGCTTGCTGCACATCAGGTAATGAACTTTTATTTAGTTACACAGGCTCCAAAGGAAGAAAAACAGACTCTTCCTCTTGCCGACCAGAAGGATGTGAGGAATCATTCTAGCCATCTGCTGTAGAAGGGATGCCCACCCTCCCAATCTCACTGAGGCTTAATCCCCACTGTAAACTGTTGAGGGTGGGAAACCCTATTCTGGTAACTGAAAGGTGGGACCTGGAAGAGGTGATTAGATTGTAGGACCATGCTGTAATGAATGGATTAATAATGGTGGTCAAGGGTGTGGTTTGGAGGGCTTTAAAAGGAGAGTGAATGAGGTTACTCTCTCTGCTCTCTTTGTTCCACCTTTATCACAATGTGATACTCTGCCGCCATGGTCGCAACCATGAAGGCTCTCACCAGAAGTGTTCTCTGGGCTTTGGACTTACCAGCCTCAGAAACTGTAAGCAGTAAATTCCATTTTCTTTATAAATCACTCAGTTCCAAGTATTTTGTCATAAGCAACAGAAATGCTCTAAAACACCATCTCTATAGATAATCTATCATAGGACTAATACCACACTCATGCCCAGAAGTTGTCAACCAGACTGTGGACTGGGTTCTGACTCCAAGTAGGGAAATCCAGAGGGCAAGAGAGGAGATGGGAATGATCAGCTTCTGGCATGGCAGACTGGGGAGTTTAGTGAACCCAATACCCAGTGAAACTATATAAAACAACAACCACCACAACAACTACTTAAAGATACAGCTAACAACACAGGGCTCCCTCCCCTCCCAGCTCCCAGCTGGAGAGCTGAAGTATCTTCTCAGGAGTGACAGGACTTCAGTATTTCTCATCCTGCCTAACTGCTTGTTGCACACGCTAAGTTCGGGGCAAGTGTAATTCAGAGGTGGAGGATCCCATTTTCTTCCCAGCCACCTCTCATGGGATGGTGGTTCTACCTTGGGTCTGGTGCACTGAGAATGCTGGGTTCAGATAACCTATTCACGGCTCATTCAGCACAAGTACCATGTTGAGAGGCAAGTCAAGAAAACCAGAGGCTACAGCTACAACCCCCTCTGCTGGGTGCCCAGCTCCTAAGGTAAGGGCATCCCTCTGAGAGGAATAAGCCATTGTCTCCACCCCCTGATCCAGAGCACACGCTCAGAGAGTTTGCCCAGCGGAAGGGACAAGCCATGAAACTGCAGAGTTCAAATCTCTCCCTAAAGGAACTTACTTCACTTGCAACAAAGTGTGGGAAAGGTGAAGCCTAAGACTACTCTCAAAACGATGGAGGGTATGGTAAAAAGCAATTAAAAGAAGACTGGTAGATTCATTAGAAATATGGGCTAAATCATTAGCTGGTTAATTTATCAGGAGAACCAGGGAAATAAACAGCTAAGAGGTCAGAAAAACACTCAAACACGGACCTAAAAAGCTCTCCCTGTAAAGCATTCCACATTTAATTAGATCAGTCTGTGGAGCAATTTATACCACAGAGACAGCTGAAAACAATAGAGCAATCAGGCAGCAATAAGTGGAGCTTAATGGCTGGGTGTGGTCAGGGAAAGAGATAGTCAAGAAAGCCCTGCTAAAACCAGCCTCATCCCAGGGTGACAGGGTACATGCCAAGACTATATACAC